AAAAAAGCAAAATAAGAGTAACTGGGACTTTGTAATGCTAGAAAAAGAAAAAGAAGGAAATCTCTCTGCAAAGRGAATGATGGAAAAGCCGTGTGAAATTATAATTGTGCAGTCTTTGGAGCTCTKATTGGGGCATTTTGAGAATGCTGCTTGAAGGTAAATGACCCATTAGCATCCTCTGCTGACCAAACACGGGCTCTGACGTTTTGGAAGGGGACAAGGACATCCAAGTGCCTTTGAAAGTCTGCAGTCTGAAGCAGAGATTTCCTGGTTTGATTTGGAATTAATGAAGGTTAAAATTAAAGGGGAAGCAGTAGTAAGTCTGCTGTCTCATGGGCTGAGCTCTCAAGATGTATTGTAGTTACTCTCATGAAATTAAAGTCAGGTGAGGATCACTTATGAAGAAACATCCCTTTGTGGATGAAAAAAAAAAAGTTAAAGAGAATCACAGAATCATAGAATGTTTTAGGTTAAAATGGACCTTAAAGGTCATCTTATTCCACCCCCTGCCATGGGCAAGGACACCTCCCACTATCCCAGGATGCTCCAAGCTCCGTCCAGCCTGGCCTTGGACACTTCCAGGGAATGGGGCAGCCACAGCTTCTCTGGGAAACCTGTGCCAGAGCTTTCTCAACTGCACAATATTTTCTGTGAACTTTTTTCTACCTATATTCTTACCCAAAAGTCACAGTGAACTGATGGAAAAACATAAACAAATCTGTGCCCCAAAGCAGGTGTTTGGGGAGGGGAACAGCATCCCCTCACACAATCCTTCCTAGGATGCCTGACAAGAAGATCCTTCTTCACACATGCACATGGAATGATATATTTGAAACTTTTTTTTTTCTCCCAAACTAAAGAAAACATGTCTGTTTGAGTGATTGAAAAGCTCATGGACAGCCAAGATGAGTCACTGATTATCTGCTAGGGAGGCAGGACAATGTAACATTTGAATGTGAAAAAAAGTAATAATCTGGAAACCCATGTTTGATAAAAAAAAAAAAAAAACAGTTTTATTGCTGGTTGGTTCTGGAAAAGAGGACAGGTCATGCATCACTGTTCCCTGCTGGAAGGRTTTCTCCAACTTGTTAGGGCATGGAGAGGGAACGAAGGACAGGATTTGGAGCATCAGTGGAAGAGATGAGTCTCCTGGCTTTTGGGGTAAAAGAGACCAAAACATCTATAAAACAGAACTAAAAATGCAGTGCAGAGTGATATAAACCAGTTAGAGAAGTATCCAGGGCAGACTGGGAGCCCTGATTGCAGCCCTTAGGGGAAGAAAAGAAGGAAAGGTGGATAACAGCAGTAATATTACCATAATCTCTCCTGTGAGAGTGTTGTTTCACTTATAAGGAAGGTAATGGATTCTGGAATAAAACAACCGGTTTGTCACACCAGGATGATGTTATCCAGTCTGGTGGCTGGAGGACTGGTTGATCTGGTCTCAAGGAAACTGTCCAAGTTAAGGATTTCACTGAAGTTGCTTTTTTTTGTGTGTGTATTGGATAAAAGGGCTACTCACACTCTGGGATCATGCAAACACCCTTCTTTAAATCCATCTAAAAAGGAGGAAGATGAATCAAATTGTCTGCAAAGATTTTAAATAAGAATAAATATTGTTATGTCCATGGAGGTTACTGGGAAGGCCAGTGGGTTGAGGTAGAAATACATCAAAATTAAAACTCTGTGGAATYCCTTTTAGGGAATCTGAAAGTGAATGAGATTGGTGTGGTTAAATACTGGAAACATATTTGCCTGCCCTGGGAACAGCCCATGGTAGTGCTTGTTTCTATTTTATTGCACAGCAGAGTGGAGAGAGATCTCTTTCTCKTACAGGGGATGGATTTCTCCTGGCAGCCAAAGGCAGATCTGATGCCCTCAGATCAAAACCAAATGGAGAGACTTTATCCAAGTCCAGCCCTCCAAGCAGAGCCTGGAAATATCAAGTGACACAATGATTTAAGCAGGAAGAAAGTAGTGTAGAAAAGGGGATTGTATTGAGAGACATGGTCACTGAAAAGGAGGAATCTGGACTGTCCAGAAGGATAARTCAGTCCAAAAATCAGACAAATTCTCTATTTTGCTTCAACTTGTTCCAAAGTGTTCTTCCAGTGGAAAAATAGCAACATTTCTTTGTGGATTTAATCTCCATGAATTTATTTCTTTGTCTTTCCCCTCTCAGCTACGAGCCAGGAAGATGAAGTGCTGCCTTCTGTCCATCGCTTTGGCCGTCCTGCTGCTCATCGTCATCATCATCGCCGTCTCCGTCAAGCGCTGACCTGGCCGAGGTTTGCACAGGTAAAACCCTTGAACCAGGTCTTTTATCATACCAAATCATATCATATTATCATAGAGGTGCAGAAGGAGTGTTAAAAATCCCAGGCTGGAGCAGGATCAGGGGCAATCCAACAGTTCAGAGGTGTTCCAAAATGCTTTCACCTTCTGAGATGTTCCAGAGACCCTCCTGAGGAGAAGGAAAATGACAAACAACTGGAGATTTCAGGAATCTCTAAGTGCCCAAAAGCTGATTACGGTGAGAAAAAAAGTATGTTCTGCAGATTCAGGTCTACTAAAGGCCTAGTAAAATATTTTCCTTCAAAGGGTATTGGAGCTCAGAAATATTCTCAATGGATCCTTAAAATTAAGCCAAGGTGATATTCCAACTAAACATCGTATGACCCTTTCCTCTGCGGTTTGWGTGGTGTTTGAGTTTACATGAATCTCATAGAAATGCTAATTAATGGATCCTAATTATTAGGGTTAGGAATTAGGGCTGCMGAAGGAATGTTAAAGACTCCAGGATGGAGCAGGGTCAGGGCCGATTCAACAGCTCAGAGGWGTTCCAAAGTAGTTTCACCTTCTGRGATGTTCAAGAGAGCCCCCTSAGGAGGAGGAAGACAAATAAYTGGAGATTTCAGCAGGGATGAAAAACAAAAATGGATTTTTGGTGATCTTTGCTCTGCATCTACACTTAGAAGGAATACTTGTCTCTAGTAGAATTTGGCAGTGACTTTAGGAATATAGGTGAGCTATCAAAGCAATTTCATCCTATTAGTGAAGTATCACCTGTAGTATGTTTACTTTGCAAAACAAAATGTGTTTTAAATGTAAAATATAAGACACAAAAAATCCCTTTCAATTTCCTTTTCTTTTCCCTCATTGCCCTGGGAGAATGACTCATCAATTATTTCTGATAATCTCCTTCTGATGCAAAGCATCTCCATGTTTTTCCTTCTTTAGAAGGCTGCCAGGTCACTATTCAAGGACAGAATGTCAGATTTACAGATTTTCTACCGCCCAAAAGGTGGCTGTGTTCCTGCTGTCAGGACAGGGGGTCCAACTGGAAAAGCCAGGACCCAAAAGCAGCAATGGGACTTTTCCTGCAGACAGCAACTCTCCTGTGAAACTATCCCAGGGAAAGCACAAAGGATTGAGAGGTTTTGTTAATTCTTTTGTTTAACAAGAGTTCCATGCTACCTGAAAATGCTCTTCTTCCACCTGAAGATGAGGCCTCTAAAGTGCCTTCTTTCCACTGGAAAATAAAAGGGGTTGGTTCAAAACCATCATAGAAAGATAATTCTTGACACTTTTCAAGCTTTAGAACTTCTGCCATGACATTATGATCATCAAAATTTAGGTACAAGAGGGAATTGCACAAATCAAAGAAAGAAAAATAATCCATTGAAGGATGTCAAGATCCGTCTCATAGTTTGGATGAGGATGATCACAAGCCCTGCATCATTTCTAGGAGAAATAGAAATATTTTTTCTGCACTTGAATGTTTACTTAGTTGTTTGGCCAGCTCTAAAGTGAGAATGGTGTCAGTGAAATGAACCTTTAATTGACTGAATATTGATGTTCTTACAGAACTTCTGTCTGTCTATCTATCTTGATATCTATATATCTATCATTTCTATATCTATTTTTATCCCTCTTTTACATAAGAGACACTGCTTATGGGTGCTAACAGTAATCTGTCCTGATAATTTAAATCTAGAGCAACTAAAATAATTTTAATTGCATTACTCTGGTTTTACTCTGCATTGGTTTGGAAACGTGTTCCATCATGATAATCKATAATAAAATGCAATTTCTTTTAATGTAGTTAAGTATTCCTATCTGCTAGAAATTACAAATCTTATCATCAGTTGACTACATCTAGACACATTTTAATCTAAATCCCTTAAGTGGGGAAAGTCAGAGAACAAAATATTGTTACAATATAACTCCACTGGAAAACTAAAATTAATCTCCTGTTAAGAGATCCATGTCTTGAGTGAAGTGAACCTAGRGATACTGATGAAAGCCCCAGGAAAAAATATAATGCTCTACTTTTCATCATCAGTTGTGAAACTAATTATTAAGCTTCTAAAACAAGAGCTACTCTYCAGCAGTAGAAATTGAGGCAGGACCTGCTTTGAGTTACATTGGAACAAGAACGATTTCTGATCTCTAGAAATGGTTCCTAATTGATGTTAGCCCAAGATTTCACRTTTATACTTTGAAGATATATGAACCAGGATGTTTTCAGGGTTTCTGTGTCCATAGTGATAAATGCAATTCTATTCTGAATWTTACTGAAAATGGATTTTAAAGAAMTACGTGGATTTTGAAGTATCAGTGGATTTAAAGAGTACCTCAAGAAACTGGTTCATATAAAGCTCTCTTACACACTTTAGGGAAATAGGGAACAGCTGGAGTTTAATGTGTAACAGCTCCTCATGACTTCAGAGAAAATAAAGAGAGGAAAGCAAGTGAGGGAACTAATTGCTAAATACTCTGGTTGGCACAGGACATATCCCTGAGTAAAATCTCAAGTCTTTTAACGATTGACAAGAACTTCCATTTAACATCTCCTCAAAGTGTTTGCTCCATGCAGTAGTAAGGAGCCRAAAGAAAAAGCATCAGCCACTCCATTCTGGTGGTTTAAATCCCATTTGCAGGATGTTAAAGTTAAGCTTCTTTAGCTTTCATGAGTGGTGGTGAGAAATATGAAGGTCACTATTCAGGGAATTAAAGAAATGATGCCGTTAATATCTCTGATCACTATTTATTGTTTTGATYATTAGCATATAAAGTGTTCTTTTTTTTTCAAAAATTATTTAATTGGTTGATGTTTCTGCTTTTGCAATAATGATGCTGAATCAACAGTTCTTCTCAAAAGAAGAACTTTTTTCCCCATACCACAAATCACACACAACTTGGACAGACAAGCCCATTCCTTCCACAGGGAAGATCACTTGGTGAATCTTGAAGAGGAAAAAGTAGTTTTTCCTGTGTTTCCCAAGCAGTTGTGCCATCACTGGCTGCTGGCTAGGTGCGTGCAGCGAGAGCAGCTGTTCAGGAGAGCTCCCAGCCCTGTCAAAGGCTCTGCCATAAGTGTGTCACTGCTCCCTTGGGCACTTTTKTCTGGCAGAGAGAGAGAAAAGTGTCTACAGTGAATGGGGAGAAGCTCCTGAGGACTTCTGTCTGTACATTTGTTTGCTGACACCTTAGGAAAATAGCCCAGGAGCTTTTGGGTCACATTGTGCACATTTTGGAGCAACACTGCAGCTGCTCTTTTTGCTGTTCCATCAACATCAGTGGCCATTTAAGAGGAAAGTATTGCAGGAGCAGTCTGAAAGCAGCCTTTTTGTTAAAAACAGCTTTTATAATGTCAATATTTCAGCCTAGACAACCTTCTGTGCCCTTCTTTTGACTCATTTGCATGAGTGCACACTCACCCAAAGTGACAATCAAGACTGTTGGAAYCTGAAGTTTTAAGCTTTATTTGTAGGAAAATAGAGGTGACGAACTTTGAGAAACATGCTGCRTGTGTGTAACAGCTGGAAAATATGGTTTCCAATGAGATTTTTATCATCTCTATCCCATTAGCCAAAGAAAGACAGAATGAATGATCACTTGACTGAAACATTTTCTTGGAGGGAGTCTTTGCAGCAGAGGGTGCCTTCCCCATTTCCAAGACACATTTCTGTCAGGCAAAGGTCACTGGACTGAGCACAAGGACTTTGCCATGTAGATTCCTTAAATCCCGTGGGCTGTGATTCATCAGGTTCTCCCAGCCTTCAGSAACCTGAAGCTCAAAACCTTCCTGATACAGTGGACAAGTTATTAAATCGTTAATAGCCATTGATTCATTCCTTTTTTGATAATTTGACCATTTGGATTTTGAACCATCATAAACTTCTAAAATATTAAATAACCTGAGCAAGGAGTAGCATTCTGATTAGAGTTGCCATGTMATCTTGAATGTACAGATGTGAAATCCACAGAATCATAGAATAGTCTGTGTTTAGGTGGGACCTTAAAGATCATCTTGTCCCAAACCCCCTGCCATGGGCAGGGACACCTCCCACTATCCCAGGTTGCTCCAAGCCCTTTCCAACTTAGCCTTGGACACTTCCAGGGATGGGGCAGCCACAGCTTCTCTGGGAAACCTGTACCAGGGCCTCATCACCCTCACAAGGAAGATTTTTTTTCTAATATCTCAACATCTTGAACAGCATCTCCTCAACTRGGCTGTAGTCCATATGAAAAAGTAATAATCAGACTCCAATTTTGTGTTTACTGAATATGCAACAGTATTGTTCTGAATTTAAATTGTATTAGTTATCATAGAAAAATAGAAAATACTGTTTTAGTCTGGATTATTTATCCATTCCCTCACAGTTATAGCTTTCCCTGCATAATTCTTTTATGATTTCTTTTMTGTGGTTAAGTKTTTTATGTAACCTGATCAAYRAGGATGAGGTTCAGACAGCTGATTWWWCACAGCCCATCCTTGGTGATTTTTTTCTTCCTTTCTTTCAGACCTTATTTTTTTTTAAATTTGGTTGGATTCTTTTAATATCTCGTGCACTGCACTGTCCTGGTGTGCTGTTCCTGCTGCCACCAACAAATTCAGTCACAGCCCCTGTGTGTTGAGGTCGTGAGGGCCAGGGTGGCACAGAGGGGACAATATACAAGTGGCTTTGTGGCACTTGGCATTTATGGGTCTGTTGTCCCTTCCAAGCAGGAGTCAAGCCTGGGCACCCTCCTCTGACACACACAACAAAAATTCTGACATTTGCCTGGTTCATCTCTGCCTGGCAATGTCAGGATGCCAAAGCACAGCAGCTCCTACTCAGTGTTGAACAGAGAAATAATTTAACCTAAGCAACGTTGTAAAAAAGGGCAAAGCACAGACAGGTTTKTTTCCTGGTGTTGCTTCACCTTTTAATTTGTTGTCAGAGGGCTCTATTTGATGTCTCTGTTTTCACCACACATCTGCATGTGGCTTAATAAGAGAGCAGCTGAGTTTTCAAGCTTGTTTCA